ATAAATAAATAAATAAATAAATAAATAAATATAAATAAATAAATAAATAAATAAATAAATAAAAATAACCCTGCCTTGATTTTATAATTACTATTGTTATGTAACAAGAAAAAATCTTCCTATATTTTCCCACCACAGGATTTATTATTTTCTTTGTTGTGGGAGGGAATCTCTATTCAGGTAGGAAAATATTAACAGCTGCACGTTGCCTTTTGACTGGAAGAGCTAGGAATTGTCCACCCAGGAGCCCCCCAGAGGTAGAGCTAGAAACAGGGTCTGCCTAAGTTGCACAGAGACTTTTGGACAGACTTTCCTAATTCCAGTCAAAAGGCACCGTGAAACTCTTCACGGAACTACAAATGGAGAAAAGATGACTTTGTTTCATTTATTCCTTTATTTATTTTTTTGCAAAGGCATGACAATTACAAGAGAGAGTGTTTCAGGCAAGGGGGTGGGGTGGGGGGGAGAACAGGATACAGATAGAGAACAAGAAACAAAATGGCACGGTTGGTATGGCTACAGTTTCAAGCTACAAAGTACAAAGAATTTATTATTCATCCATCGCCTTCTGTAGCTGAAAGTCTGGAATAATGATCTAACTGAACATCCGAAAAAAAACACAATCTTTTAAACTGGCTCATCTGTTGTGGTGCTTTCAGCTCCTAGAGTGAAGTAGGATAATAACCAGGCGTGTGCTAAACACTGTAAATTCAAAACAAAAATGATGCAAGGGCATCAAATGACAAGTTTGTTTTTAAAGATTCTACGTTCGGTTAACTCAGGCTTTGTGCTGTGGTCTCTACTTTCAAAACAGTTGCAATTGCAAAGCCAGTTTCTGATGCTAAAAGAAGTAATACATTTGGCCGAAATAAATCAGCCTAAAATTATCATATTGGACATTTTGGGGTGGGTATATTCTCCTAAAGGGACGCCCAACTTGTCAAATCACAAAGGATTTGGTCAATCTCTCTATAAGTTCTTGTACAAAACACTGACATCTCTAAAATTTGGTGAATGTACACTGCATGGGTCATTTTTACATTTTTTAAATCTTATGTCATTTGGGGGGAGGGGTGTCCACAGCCATCCTCTGTGCATATTACAGATATCCTGGAACCCACAGAGAGTGTGTTGCTGATCAGTCATTAAAAAGGTTCCACTGAATAATGTAGGCTAGTGGATAAATAATGCCTTGGTCAAGGTTTAGACCATAGTTAAGAGATTTAGGAGACATCACATTTCCTCATCCTAAGACCTCCATTCTGGTAAATAAATCTCTGCCTCCACCCTCTGCACCTTGAATCTTAGCAACATTTAATAGCTTGGCATTACATATACTCCTGGTTTGGTGTTAACCATTTCTGTGCCAAGCACATTATTAGCAAAGAGTTGAAAGATAAGGCGCTAAAATAAGAAAAAGGAGTGATGGTGGTGGGAGAAAGTATACAATTTTCTAGCCATATGATTTCATTAGATCTTTTCTCCTCACCCCACCTGCTTTAACACATTTCTTCCATTAAGTTCCATCAAGTTTCGGCCAACTGAACAACAACTTCTGGAGAAGTTACTCTTCACCTAAATGGAAATTGCACATCATATATATTTGAATCTAAATAATTTTAGCTGTTGTCATATATACTTGAATCTAAATAATTTTCTTTCTTGAAGGAAAACCTGGATTAAGGCAATCAGATAATCTCTATGAGGTTTCCATTACTAATACTGCAAAGAACATTGACATCTTCAATATTGATGGAAACAGTATAGAGAAATAGAAAATGAACTCTATCAAATTAACTGTATTAATATTTCCTCTTTCTAATGGTTGATGTAAACCTGGCAAGCTGTTTTAGCTAATTCAAAAAGGGAAAAATAAGACCTACCTCTATCATCTACCTACCTACCTACCTACCTACCTACCTACCTACCTACCTACCTATCTATCTATCTATCTATCTATCTATCTATCTATCTATCTATCTATCTATCTATCTATCTCTATCGTCTCTCTCTCTCTCTCCCCCTCATCTATATCTTGTTACACTGGCCACAAAACAAACTGAAGCTACACCAGGAAAAGTTTTTCACTGACCTGAGAGCTGACCGACTCAAAGTCCTGAATGTTTGGTTTAATGACTTTCAGTAAAGGCAGGAAATTGAGATCAAAGCATCCCTTAAGCCTTTCCATGGCCAGCTCTTGGGAAGAATATACAGAACAACTTCTGAGTGCTGTTCTTGTGATTTGGTGATTACTGACTCCTTTTTCAGAGTTTTGAACTGCAACTTCCAGCAGCCCCAAGGAGCATGGCTCATGATGAGGGATGCTAGGAATTGAGGGCCACAATAGGCGGTCCAGAGTTGTAGATGACTGAATGGTCTCAGAAAATGAACAACAACAACAACAAAATCTGAAAAGCCCCAGTTTTCCCATCCCTGTGACTATAAATATTGTGACCACTTTATATTGTTCTACTTAGAGTCAGCTGTTTCTCCAAACAGCTCATTGGGGCTTATATATAGTTCATAGGCATTTCACTGAACAGATCATAAATTTCAAAAGACTGAAACATGTGTGCTACCCTGAACAATCAGGCTTAATTGAACCTTCCTTAATCAGGCTGAGAATAATAGGAGTCAAAGTCCAATACTTCTGGAAAATATGAGATAAAGGATGGGAGTGGTTAATTTTCTCAGTAATGATGACCAGGCTATTGCCTAAACCAGTGTTTCTGAACCCTGGCAACTTTAAGGTGCGTGGACTTCAACACCCAGAATTCTGGGAGTTGAAGTCCATACATCTTAAAGTTGCCAAGGTTGAGAAACACTGGCCTAAACTGTTCAAATCTTGTACTAAACAGATAGAAATGTTCTGACCAATTGGTCCAGCATTTAAGAACTGTATTATAACAATGTCAACTTTCTTTATTTCAGCTCCAGTTTTGAACTGAGTTGAACTGAGTTGTTTTTAAAGGAGATAATGATTTATAACCCAACAGTGCCACTTTCAATGCAAATGTTATTAGGACACAAAAGCAGGATGAAATACATAAAGTTGTATATCAAACATAATACAAAATGATCATGTATATTCTCATTAAAGTAAAAAAGCCCAGAAATAGAGTTCAATTGAACCATCACCAAAGGAAGACTGAATGATCCATCCACTTACTTGGTGATCAGGTGCTGGCCCATTTATTTCAGAAGGAGTTACCCCTGTGTCACTCCTGACTGACTAAAATAACAAAGGGTTATATTAATTTCTTCCATGTTCCTACAATGATTACAAATGATTGTACATGGGAATCTAGTTGAGCCTTTTGTCTCTCTTCCTGTTTTCGGACTTAAGAACACAATTGCAAAAGAGCATGTGATTTCTTTTCTCACTGGAATGTCCTCTAGGGAACCTTTAGCCAAGCAAGGGAGTATTCTGTGAATGCCCCATTTAGAATAAATATGCGGTCTAACACATCATTTATCATACCTTTTTATGCCTACCTTTCTTAATATTTATTTATTTGTTAATTAAACCAATTTATATAGCCACCCATCTCACCACAGGTTAATATAGTCTATCAGTTCCTCCCTCAGAAATGATTTGTTTCAGTGTGTCAGGCTTCATACTTGGACTTGTCAGTAGATCACAGAACTCCTGACCTTTCACTCTTACTTGACTTCTCAACTTGAGTTGGTAGGAGAGTTCCAGACATGACTTGGCTAGATTAAAATCTTTATTGTACACAAAGATGAAACAATCCACATGGTAAATGATTGTCCACAGCAGTGCAAAGATGCTAGGCATTTTTATATAATCTCAAAGGTTTATATTTCAAGGGGGTTTTTTCTTCCTGCCCTTTTGAATTAATGGATGCTTGGTGACTTCAGATTAGGTAATTGTGGTCTATTTAGATAATGGCCATCTCTAGCCTGAGAACTGGTGGTTCCCACTTTGCCACCTGAACCCTCGCACAGTGTGAAAGTGGAACTCAACTGAAGGTGGAATTCAATAGGACAAAGCCCATTACTCAGGAGCATATCTCTGGCTGCTTGAGAGTCATTAAAATTCTGCCTACCATCAAATAGATAAATGAACTACATAGATGTAATATGAGGTAGGCTTATAGGCAACTTTTGATATTCCTGTTTCATGGATTAATGATGCACTAGATCCACTTATATTTATTATTAGCCACACGTTCTGTGGAATGGAAGGCCCAAAGTTGCTTTCACTTTCACTGTTGGTCTGGTAAAAATGATAATGATTGTATGTATGTATGTATGTATGTATGTATGTATAATGATGCAAGCTTTAAGCCACTGACTTGATCTCATATAAAGTATCTCACAGATTCTGCCTGAGGAACCCAGCCAAAAATATGGCTATTTTGGAAGCTTTTTAATTAGCTGCCACTGGCTTGTTCCATTATGTTTACTATTAATTAATTAATTAACGATTGAACTTTGAAGCTGCCCGATTGTTCAGTGACTATAGGGTAGCTTACGATGATATCAAAAAAATAATGTAGCTCACATACAAATTCAGGAATATCCATCTTACCAGTTTAAAGAATTTTCTCAGATTTGTTTTGGTGGGTTTCTCCTCTCCTTTAGACTTGGTTTCTACACCTTCCTGGCTCCTACTTTCATCTTTTGCTGGGACCTCTGGGGACGCTTCAATTCTTTCAGTGTTTATCACCTCTATGTCATCTGTGGGAGTCTGCAATGATTCAGAAGGAGTGTTACCAAGGATGTATGTCTTCATCCAAGACATTTAGATCAGTCAAGATGAGATTCAGAAGACCTTCTCTCAGTGAGGCTGAAGGGTGGCAAACTAGCTATTCTGGTTCAAAAGGAAGCAATTTCATATGTGAGAGGTTCCAAGGCTCAGACCTTTCAAAAATCAAAGCTACTGATTTCTGAGTCCCTGCTCCAATCACACACTGTTGGGACTTAATGAAGAAAGAGAAAGACAGACATCCTGAATAATATCCATCTATTCTAACTGACAGTGGGCAGGAGCACTTTTAGGCACTAAGGGCTGCATAGCACTGGGCATTATGCACCTCTTCTGTCCATTCTTTTATTTGCCATCCAGGAGTAATATTTTACATTTGATTAGGAGAAAATTCTTAGAATGGAATCAGAGGTCTCTGCATGCAGCAACTTGTCCTTACTCTCTGTTTGGAGGAAAGAGGCCATCATAATCTCCCTCTGCTTCAAAAGGATTATGTCAGAAGATTCAGCAAGGTCTTTTCTCTGGGTATTTCTATATTCAAGAGTTACTTGTTTTTCCCCATTAGGGAAATTGTAAACAGCTCCCCCCCCCACCATACACACCCCTTCAGACTGAATTTTAATCTAACATGACTACACAATGTTACTGCAAATAAGACTCACATCCAGATAGACACCAGGGGCTGTTCTACAATGGAGTTATGCTTAATGATTAGCATTCATTTCATTTGATTTTAAAGGTTTTAAGCCATCCAAAGGGATACAAAGGCATTTGAGGGTAGAATGTTTAATATGAATAAAACAGATTAAGTAGGGTAGAGGTAGACTATGGCAGCGATCCTTAACTAAACTGCAGGAGCAGGAGCAGGAGGAGACATTATGAAAAATGCTGGCTGTTCCCAAAAATAGTGCTCTGAAATCAGATTTCTCTTTTTTCTTTCATTAGTATAATAAGCTTTACCATGAATCTGACATAATGTAATGCCTTTCTATGCTTCTGCTAAGAAACCTTCAGATATTTGGAATGGAGATAGGGAAACCTATGGTCTTATTTTGTGAAGTAGCAGATAAGGATTTGGGAAGGGGAGGGAAATAAGTTAATATGTAAGTGCCATTTTTAATAGCTGTCCTATGTATATGTCCTAGAGGCTATGCTATATTGTGCAAACCCAGAATAAGGATTAATTTCGGGACCTGTGAATTGTGTGGTATGAAGCAATGGTATTCTCCCACCTTTTCATTTAAGAGTAATCATCAGAAATTTAGCCGGTGATTGTGTTAACAAAAAAATAGAAATGGTCTTAATTAAACTGGTTGAGAAAAGTGGTAGTTAGAAGAAGCAGAGTTAATTCAATTAAAATTATAATTTAGTAAATGAACAACCTTAAAGAGAACTAGAACACTTATTACTCATTGTAACAATTATTATGTTATCACTGTGCCGGTTGCTAAAGTCTATTTTTATTCTTCTGTATGCAATGCAGTGTAATAATCCTGTAATATCATCTGATGACAGAAGAAACCACAATGTCAAATGTAATCCAAGGTTATTTCCAATGCTTATAGGCAGCTAATAAATGAAATATATTATAACATTAAAATATGATATCACTGGAAGCAAACCTTTAAATTGTTTTAAAATAGTCAGCATTGATGTAGTTGCTTCTCTCTTTCTCTCTCAAATCCTCCTCCTCCTCCTCCTCCTCCTCCTCCTCCTCCTCGATAGAATTTTGCAGCTACTTTAGCAGCTATATTTCTATCACTGCTTACAGTGATAGCATTAATTCCAGTCACCATTTAGAAGTTTTTCTCTTTTTTTTGCCCAAAGCTGAACACATGCTCAGTAAAGCAAAAGGCTTCTGTCAGGATTTACTTTTAAAAACAAAATAGTGTCTGGAATTTTCTTGGGAATACTGTCTATCATTTTGCCTCTGATATGATATTCATGCAATGGGTTTAATTTCACTAGTGATAAAGCTGTATCCTGGGAGGAAATTCTAGGGACTTTTGTGATCAAAGAAAATGAGTGAAGTTCTGTCACTCAGGAAATCATTTGCTTTGAGTAGATCCTTGACTGGAAATTCATGCAGTCATGAGCTCTAGCACTGGCAGGATGGACACACAAATGGTTTCACCATTAGAGTTGGGGTGGCCATGGCTTAGAAGTTGCTGCAGATACCCTTGAGTGGACACTGCAAATTCTGTGATATTAGAGTGCAGCTGAGGGGTTTCAGCCTCAACTGAGCTGGTCCAGACTTTTTGTACCCCATTTTGTATTCACATTCCAGCCAGGCAGCCAGCATGTTTCCAGGAGTCACCTAGGCATATCCAATCTGCAGACATGCCCAGACTAACAAAAGCTGGACTTTATTCTCAGACATGGACTGTTGACTGCATCTAGGTCAGATGTTCTCATTTTGCCATCAATCATGCATGTTCTCAAATGTCTCTTCTGAAACACCTCCAGCTTCCCTGAATGGTGAGCTTGTTTCTCTTGTATAGAATAAGACTGGCATGATGGCTGCATTGAATATTTGAATCTTCATTTTCAGGTTGATAGTTTTCTTCTTCCAGAAGCCCAACTTGAGCACTACTAATCCATACAACAACATCAGTGGATGTGGCAAACATTGATGCAAAGATCAAAGAGTCTAGGTGTTTCAAGTTATCAACCTGCTCAGTTGGCTAGGGCAAAGTCAATGCACGTGTCATCAGTTGGCATCCTCTTGGTCCTTTTCGCATTTATCCCTAGGCTGAGTCTCTTTGGTCTTTTGCTTACGACATCTAATGGTTCCTGTTCCTTTATTTCTTATTCCTCTATGAAAACAATAGCATCGGTGTATGTTCCATCTGTGAAGTCCAGCTCGTCCATGCCACATTGAACTTCTGTATGCCCAACCCAGCTTTTCCTCATTATCCAGTCTACCATCACATTGAACCACATGAACTGCCTGCCTAGGTGACTCCTGGAAATGTGATGGCTACGTGGCTGGGATGTGCATAAAAAGCATTAATCTTTCTTGAAAATGCATCTTTGTTTTAAATAAAAATGGAAAAGGAAAAAAAATATTCCCAGCAAGTCATGATAACTAACCAAACATCAACGGAGAAATTAAATATGATAAAACAAAACAAAAAATACTATTATCAATCTAATTGTTTTTATATCATCTTATTTACACTTTCTTTCATAGAACTCTGTTTTTAGACAATACCAACAGCCTATTTGGATGAAAGATATAAGGGCTTACCAATTACACACTGTTTATGCATTTGTGATAATTCACAGGTAGAAGATCTGAACCATTACTTATATCAGGAACCCAGAGCTAGATTTATTATGCCTCCGTTAATCTATCTGAATCAGTTCAGCACAAAAGAAAAAATCTATGTTGCTTGCAATGGCTGCAAGGAAGATACAAATGTAGATGTTGACAGATAGTGCTGTTAATTTTAGGGGGGTTGAATTAAATTGATATGAATTGCTATGATTTTATATGAATTTTGTTAAAACCTATGGTTGCAAATAAATGTACTACTACTAATAATGGCAACTTCCAAGTGATTGTCTCTAGAATCCAAACATACCTTTTTCCAAAAGAATTTACTTAGGGGTGTGGGGGTAGAAGAAGATCTCTCCTTTGTCATCTCCTTGGGAGCTTCATTGGTGACAACCACAGCTGCTGGGGCTGGTGGTTGTACTGGAGCTTCTGGGGCTTTCACACTTTGCTTCACTGCTGGACTCTCCTGAGATGGAGGTACATTTGTTTCTGGTTTTGTAACAGGGACAATGGTGACAGGCTGCTCGGTATTCTAGAAACACAAGTGAACCAGAAATTGTGCAGGAGAAGATAAACTTCAAAGACCATCAATGGAAAAACATGTTTGGCTACACTAGAAGACAAAAGAAGCTCATGAAAATATGGTATGTTGACATCTTTTTTTCTTTATATGATTCTTGGATTCATGTTAATGTGGTTACCTGATATTGTTTGAAATTAAAAAATTTTTAAAGAATATTCCAGCGCCTTCAAACATACATCTTTGTCCACCATAGGATTACCTGAGACAGGTTATGGCAAGGATGTAGAGAACAGTATTGCCAATCTAAGTCATAGATATAGAAATACTCTATGCAAATGCAAAACTCATAGTTTTCAGTAATATCACTCACCTTGGCATTTGTTGTCTGCGGAACATCTTTTTTTGCCTAAGAAAGTTTAAAACACACAAACACAGAGAGAAATCACATGGGCCATTTTCACTGTGCAAGAATAGAAGTGCCAGTAATGATATTAAGGATGGAGGCATACAGTCACTGCACTGTGCTTGACACGGTGAAGCCAGTATAAGGAGGAGGTTGTGGGGTAAACTTTGAGCCATGTATCCTGAAATATCACAGGTGGTGAACTGAAGTATAAAACTGAAGGTGTGATGCAGCTGAAGTAAAACCAGCTCAGGACGATGTGTGGAGAAAGTTCCTAGGGAGTTTTTCTTTTATAATACTATAAGGCCATGATGCTGAATGATTGGAAATACAAGACAGAAAAATGGAAGGATAGTGCATCCTTTCCCAATTGGGTGGTCTGCAGATATTTGGCCTTTAGTCTCCAGAATTACCACTTAGCTAGGTTATTGATGAGAATTTTGGTAGCTGATATCTAGACATTCAGCAGGGGTCTAATGGGGAAAGCTAACATAGTTAAACTTTGCAATTTGGTATCACAAGAGGGATGTTAAATGTCAAATGGGAAAGCTTCAGAAGGGAACCAGACTAATTCATGAACAATAAAGCTATCAGTGTCCTGTAATCCTGATGGTTAAATATCTCCAATGGCAGAGACAGTATGCCTCTCATTACCAATTGCTGGAAAAGTTGAATGGAACATTATGCTGGACCACTTAAGCCTTTGTTCTGTTGTTCTTCTTAATCTGTGTGATCTGAACTTATAATGATTTCACCATATCAGCAATCAAAAGGAAATGCTTATATCAATATTAGTATTTCTGCAATTAGCATCTGTACAAATACCACTGCTTTGGGTTCAAATTAGTATTTGTGATGTAATCCTGAAAAACATATTGTGGGGAAGGGAGAGCATCTGAAGCAAATCTGTATGCATCATTTTTGGATTGTGTTGTCTCTTTGATGAAGACGATGCATCAATTCAGTTACTTCATAAAGGTTAGGGGAGGACATCATTGAGTAGAGCTAGCCTCATGGTAACTATATGGGCACAAACTTTCTTGGCAACCATACAGATCTGGTGCCACTCCTTTTTTCCAAGAACATGTTGTAGATTTGCCATCTAGCCTATTGTCCTGCATTTTGTGATGGTCTCCCATTCAAAGACTAACCAGTCCCAACTGTGCTTGCTTCTCACTCTAGATAAACTCAGCAGTCTTGCTACCCAGTGAAGCATGGAAAACTTATTTCCCAGGAAATAAGACTCTATTCCAAAGCAATCCTTCATGCTTTTAACTTATAAAGCAACCTTCCTAGTATTGGTGCCATGAAGATGCTGGAATTCAAGGAGTTATGTTTCCAGCTCATTAAATGTTGCCAAATTGGGGCAAGTTGTGCTAATCTGTCTTAAAATCAACTATTAGGTTTATGATCAGTCTGGCTCCTTTTATATGGAGCTTGAAGTAAACAGGGGCTAACAAATTTTTCATAAGGAAGGAATCTTCATGTTTTTTCTAGCATGCTAAGCTAGATGCTGGGTGTTGATGACTGATCTCATTAATATGGGAAGGGAGATATATGGGCAGAAAGATGGGATTTAAATGGAAAGTAATAATCATAAGAATAAATATATAAATAAAATACTTCATTTTATTTTTGAGATACTATAGCTCCTTTCTTTCTGCATCTTCACTTTGTGCCTGAATTTCCAGTCCTGTGAGGGCAATAGGAGTTTGCTGGCTTTTCAGCTCCCCTTCAGTAGCCCAGAGGAAAGAAGCAGGAATGAAATTGACAAGAGTTTAGTCAGTTTCCTTCTCTTCCACCCAAGACTAACAGGATTGAAAAGATCCAAGCTACTTGAGCCCGCCCGCCTGCCTGCCTGCCTGCCTTCCTTCCTTCCTTCCTTCCTTCCTTCCTTCCTTCCTTCCT